CCCCCCCCCCCCCCCCCCCCCCCCCCCCACTCCCTATGGTTTAAAAATAAGGTAACCATAACAACAACTAGATGAAAACTTTGAGAACAAGGAAGAACGCACTTTAAGAAATGACAATCATTCTGCCCGCATTCTACTTGGTAGAAAAGCCTCGGTAACCCATTGAGATGAGTTTTAACTAGCCGATAAACAGACAAAATCACCAGTGTTTTTAATTTTGAGGTGAATCAAAGATAAATTCATGGAACTTCTGTCAAAACGCAAATAGAATAGATTAAAAGGCTAGAACGGAAAGCTATTAGGATATTTGTAGATAGGGGCATGCGATAGACTTACCTCCACGTGGTGCATCCTGGGCAACGTATACTCATACGGCAAGCGTCTGTAAACTGACAGTTGACTTCTCACATCAAACTATCATGACCCCACTGTATGTCATATTCAATCTCTTCCGCAGTACTCACTTCACCTTTCTCCCTACCTTTGTGTCTGACTCCCTTTTACAACTGGGAATCACTCTTCTATTCTCCCTCTCGACTTTATGTGCCTTTGATGTTCCTCCCCTCTGTGAAGCTCGAAGTCTACTAAAGGACTAATGATTACTATCATATAGCCTGCCATTTGATATAAATATTTCTAAATAAAAAGAAAAGCTGGACTAAAACACTTAGAAAATGAAAAAATACCATTTAAATTCCATTAGAATGCATATTTGGTGATGATGATAGTCTAAACGACAAATCTTAAAAGTGTAACATCAAAAAACTGTTTACATTAACCACTGCAACAAAACTGATAGTTTTAAAATTAATTGTTTCTTTTGTGCAGATAGGTATGTAGAAAACTCTCAAAATTCCTGCATGATAAAATGAGGATTGATTTGTTTTTGTTTCGTAGAGAGGCATAGGCGAATAAAACTTCAAAATGGAATGCGACATGAGCTCAGACACCAATCCAACGTCTTATCCTTCCGTGTTTATGTACCTTTGAAAAAAAGGAATAAGGGCCGTCGATAATAGGTCAGCGTGTTAGCAGATCTTTCAACGCTTTATTACATATTATCCAGCATAAACGTATTCGACGTATGCTGCTCAATAAGCTATGGAATGAATGATAAACGAAACTCGTAAAGGCCCGTAAGCAGAAAGGACTTCGCAAGTAATCAATTAGACCATTAGAACCAGAAGTTTCAATAGGGGGAGTGATAAACGGCAGGGAAGAATGCAGCTGTTGGTAGTGGACAGAGAAGAGGGAAACAAAGCAAACATAAAAGGTGTAATGAGGTGAAACTGCTTCAAATAACTGCGGATTAAATGGTCAAATATACAAAAGGCGCCAGTGAATCCGATATAAATTAAATTAGCTAATAACATTTAAGGTGAGCAGTTCAAAAATAAATATTTAATTGGAAAACGGTACAGGCCACCACGGATATATAAAATCAGGAGCGTTTAAAGTGTGATATATGCATATATATATATATATATATATATATATATATATATATATATATATATTGTCGCGGAACCAATAAAAAAGTAGAGGTCAAGAAATATTGATAAAATCTTCAAGAAAAGGAGGGACGGAGCCAATATGCATAAATGAAAACTCTAAGAATAGGAAAATTGTTGAGTCAGCAGTCATTAATTAGTAATTTGGGAATGAGTATTTTTCTCCTGACCTTTGTCTGAATCACGCTTCATCGATCTGCACACAACTCTTAATACCAAGAGCATCATCAACTAACCGAATTTACCATTCCTGATAAAAAAATAATAACCACTACTCACAAGGTAGAGAGGAAGTGAGAATAGGAAGGGGAGGGGCGCGGAGGGGAATTCAAGGAAGTACGGAGATTGATAGGGAAGCAATTAAATGGCACAGGATGGACAATAATCCAGACACTACCGCTGCAACTTTACCTGGGACGTAATCAGGACTCTGCTGTGTGGAAGAGAGAAGTAGAAATGAATATTCCCAAGGAATCATAGGGAGAGAGAGAGAGAAATCAAGGAAAAAGGACAAAAATGTAGCTTATTTTTAAATTTGATTGTTAGGGAAATAACTATGGCATATTTATGATGTTTTGCAAATAAAAGAGGCATGAATGCATCAAGACTCAAAGGAAGTTGTGAAAGAGATGGACGTACCCTTTAAAAGTGGCAAAATGAAGCAACTCATAGAGGAAGAAAGTCCCTCAAAAGAGCAACTGAAAGGTTGTTCCAAGATATCAGGAACTCATTAAGACTTACTATAACCATTCATCATGAAAAGTGTCAATGCCCGATTTGCCAAAATCTGGAGATGAAAGTAATTAAAATCGATATCAGCATCCGCTATCTGCTCACCAAGTTAAGCGAAATAGCAGGACCAAAGCCGGTGCTCGTACCAATATGAGCGAGATTCCAATTAAGTCCAATGAAACATCTAACCATGTTCCGACAAATAAGGATAGCGATTTACTTAATGCTACTCCCAACATTTGCGTATAAAGGTAGGAAAGTGAGACAAGAGGCTGAAGGGAATAGCGCCAAGGAAAAAATAATCACTCCAATTGGTGAAACGAAAGAGTGCGTGTGAAGACGCGGTTGCTTCATACTTTACTAACCTATCTTCAAACAATTATGTTTTCACGCAAAAATGATTAGCTTAACGAGAGGATGAGATGCACATTAACAAATATGCGTGGGAGGGAAGGTGGCGGTGGAGGTGATCTATAAGAGTGTGTCCAGAAAACAAACGTCACGACTGTGTGGTACGCGTGGTATGAAAGCAAACACAGACCGGAGAATATGGCTTAATGATATACTATTTGTACCATTCTAAGGAACCTAACTAAAGACAACGTAATTATTATTAAAGAAAACAATTTGCAGAGAGTAGCAGCTCCTATATAAGATGATGTGACACTAGCTAATTCCAGCCTGTTGTTTAAACAGTACAGAGTACAAACAGCATAAACTATTTAAGAAAAGTGAGAGTAGGAAATTCGGTAAAGGAGATCTATATAGACGACCTTGAGTGAGATGCTTTCAATAATAAAGCTTAAAATAAAATAGCCAGGATTTATTATCATGTGTTATCAATATGAGTAATGGATAAGCAAAGAGAATCAAAATAGATAACACTCAAACTCCTATAAATTGAAAATTAATAAATATCTGCGTATCTAAGAAGTAAACTAAACATTCAAACTAAAATATAGTAAAAAATAAAATCAACTAACAGAAACGAGGACAATCATGAGGCAGAGGGTGGAAACACCGAGAGCGACAAAAGCCCATTGATAGTAAACAAAGCCCCCAAGGATGGTGGAAGAGGTGGGGGAGGGAGGGTCGGCTTCAGCATCCAGAAGGATATCGTCCAGAAAGGAAGTAGTTCGATTTGATCCCATTAAATGAGCACACAACACGCGAAGTGCAATAGCAGGTAGGAGAAATAGGAGACGGAGATGAGACATTACGTTGTTGAGACGTTGGTTCAGTTTCAGTAGGTAAGCTGACTTAGTTTTGATTTAAAAGGAAGAGATAGTACCCATACAACCATGGTTAACAACTAAGAGAAAGAGAAAACGAAAAATTAAACAGTGCGAAACATGTATAAACATATAAATAAATGATTATACAATGTCAGAGAGCAAGGAGATATGAAAACATCCAAAGTCAGTTGATAATAGTGCAGCGGTAAGAGAGAAATATATAAAACAGAAAATAAAACCATTCAATGTGTCTTAAAATAGTGGAAAAAGCGAGAAAATTCAATGCAAAACATAAACACTATATACTACTATTTGAATATGATGAAAGTTTAAATAAACCAAATTATACTGCAATAACAGGAGCAAAACTATAAAAAAATCCAAAGGCTCCACATAACTCAGTGCAATAATTAAAGAAGACGTAAAGAAACAGAAAAGTCAGGTAAATAACGAAACAACGAGAGCTGAACTTGATTTCAGCCTAAAAAGATTTGAGTTTATATAACGTTTCCAAACCTAAAATGGTAGGGCAACAAATGTGATAATCAAATTAGGAAAGGAAATTAAAATTTATTCATAACTTTAAAGAATTGAAATTCGTATCCAACGTGTTAAAGATAAGAATAGACTGATTATAATAGAGACAAGCAATAAAAATGAGTATTGAAAGCTAATTTCCTATTCTATAAATGGATTTATGATTATCAACTATAAAGTTCAAACTTGCAATGCTTACATAAATCACAAGGGCTATAACCGGAGAGACATGTAAAAGAAAAAAGAAAACGACCACCCCAAACAAAAATTAGAGCGGAACGACCTTGGAGCCTTATACGAAAAGAATTTTAACACATTTAAAGAACATGTTTGGAGCCATTAATAAAATGCATTTTCTATACAGTAAGTTCACAAAAATTAAAAATTAATAGAACTGTCTCATGTTTATATCTAATCAAATATGTTAATCATTTCGGACAGGCTTAAGAAATAATTGGGTTTTTAAATTATTAAGGTAAAAAAGTAAATCTTTTATGAACTTTCACCCCATAAATTTTTACTTTCAAACAAATGATGTGAATTTCATATTCAAAATTATAAATTCTAAATTAATAACATATTTCTCTCATACATGCTTCATAAAATGGTTTAACTTTGCACAATAATCACAGCGTAATTCGAATACTACAAATGCTCCCTATTCTAAATTGCCAACCAGTTCGTCGCATCTGGCCAATGGAATTTTAACGCGTTTGATTAAAGATGAGCATCGTTGACATTTTACCAGCTGCCCTGTCTTGGGGACTGATAATTATATTAAATGCACTCTATTTCACTTTTATGTAAGTTTTGCCTTTAATTCTGAAGTTATTGATCTGCGTCATAATTTCCCTTGGACCAATTGTTCATGCTTTCGTTTTGAGAATTTTTTCTACTGTCTTGTAATATTATCATATTTTGGGTCACTATGTTTTTCCTTTAATCAAACGTGCAAAATGATTTCGAAATATGACCATAAAGCTACTTTATGCTTTGTTTTTTTCCTCTGTCTATCTTCTCATGCTTTCATTTTTTCTGCATTTTTTGTTCCATCGGTTTAATCTGTCCCATTTTTTTCATTGCAGTTGCTTTGAATTTTCTCAAAATACATCTTGGGCACTTTTCGTCGTTCATCTAATTTTTACCTTCATCATAGTCTGCTTATTTGCGCGGACTAATTTCATGGATCCTGGTTACTTCCCTGCTGGTTTGTTTTACCATACTTATCATGTGATTTTGAAACATCTTTAGCTCTGGATACCGAAGTCGATTACTACAATGATATATTCGCGCCACCAACTCACGATTATGAAGTTGGAGACATTACTATTGCAACGAAATGGTGTACCACGTGTCGGTTCTATCGCCTCCCTCGCTCAACGCATTGTTCTGCTTGTGATAAATGTGTCGAGGTTTGTATTCTGTTTTTTTAAAGTTTTACTCCTCCTCTCGTTAGCAATTTGATCATCACTGTCCCTGGGTGAACAACTGTATTGGCAGACGAAACTATCGTTACTTCTTCTCATTCCTTATCACTTTATGTATCCATATGATTGCCGTTTTCGTCGTCTCCATGCTCTATGTAATGCATTCCGAACATGATCTGACTTATTATACCAATATCATTGCGTATGTATTTCTTTATAGCTGAATATAATACTATCTTTACTATTCTCTTTGATTTACGCCTTGTCGTTTTTTACGTAGTGTTATTGAAATGGCCCTAGTAGGCATGATATTCTTGCCAGTTGTCAGCTTAACAATCTTTCATATTTCTATACTTTCCAATGGTTTGACAACAAACGAACATGTGAGTGCATGCTTTATTTAATTGTGTGCATTTGTTTATAATGACTCATTTAATACTTTTTCCTTATTTTAGTTAACGAAAAAATTTCCGACGAAATCAAATCCCTTCTTCGAAAGTTGTGGAAAACAATGGCTCCATTTGTTCTGTTCTCCTAACTTTCCTAGGTATGTTTGCTTCATTTCAAATTTCATTTTACCCAGAAGAACGCATCGAATTTCACTTTTCTTTAAATACTCCATCTCATTTCCTCAACTCCTTAAATCCTGTTCTTTTTTTAATAATTCTCTGTGTCAATGTCACGTGCCTACTTTGCGTTTCTTTAATCAAGGTGTATATGATTAGGATGTTTGCTGCTGAAGTTCATATTTCATAGTTGTTTACCTAGATATACAAATTGAGAAGAAGAAGCTTTCAACTGTAGTAAGTTTGATGAATTGTGTCATCTCCTTTAATTCTTTAAATGACATTTTTCTTTTACCACTGATTTGTGTTTATTTCAACTCAAAAGTGTAAACTCTTATTCGATGTGTTTGCCTTGTTATTGTGGTCTCTCTGGGTTAAGAAATTCCTTAACCCCATAGACTCATAACTGAAATGTTTAAGTGGATTCTAGATGGCGTAAATCAAAATCTGTTTCCGAGTGGCTACTACACTTTAGAAAATTGTCTACAAATGTAGTTTGATTAAATTAAGCCGATGAAGTAGTGGGGAATCTACACAGACAGTTTTTTTCCTTTGAAAGCGGCCAACTTATTAGCTTTTCTCAGTAATTCATATTTATTGAACTACTTAATTCTTTTGTGATTAAGGCGAGTTTAGACTGGCTCTAACGCAATATCTGCTTGAATATTTATTCTGTTTTCCCTTTTTTTCCTTAAATTAACTAAATTTTGTCCCTTTACTTGCACTATTAAAATCTGACTAGCCTCAAGTCGTAATCTCTAACCACAGGGCTTGCATTTGCTACTAATCCTTGTCTTGAAATATGGCAATGCTGCTCATAAATTTTGGAAGTGTTATTTGACTTTGTATATTTTTTATTCAGAGAAGTGAGATGTAGACAAAAATATTGTTTATATCGAAGTTGTGTTAATGTTTTCCCTTTAATATTTTAAATAAACAAAGGTTACTTAAATTCACTCTACGTGCTGCCAATTTTTCCCTCCCTTACTTTGCAGTCACGTTGATCCGAATTCCAAGAAGCAGGCAGCTAAGTTGGAGAAGATGCGCGCCAAACTTATAAAACGTTGGGTGGCGGAAAAGCGACTGAAGGATCAGATAGCGCTTACCGCAGTGAATGGCAATCGTTTTACGAGGGGTACAGTCGTGGGTGCCAGTGGGCGACCCCTACTCAGTGATGAGCACTCGATCGATAACATTCCAGAAGCCAAGGTTGTTACCTATTCCTCTTCGGGGGCTAAAACTACTCCAATAAAACCGGTTCTCTATCCCTCGATCAAAGAAAATAAGGTGATCCATCTATATTTATTCCATTTATCATGTCTTTGCTCTCGCGGAATTCTTATATCGCTTTTCTTCTTTATATTCAAACGTGTATTAGGAAATTATCTCTCAATTCTAATTAAGTATATCACTTATTGGTTAACCATTGTTGAAAATATTATTTTTGCAAATTGTAATAAATATCCTATTAATAATAAAATCATGGAATTCGATATATCTTTTACGATCTGTAATCTAAGAATTGACAGAGGAAAATTTTATTGAATGTGTACTGTTTTTTTAATCTTCTGTCTGTCTATTAAATAGACTGAAAATGGTACTCGGTTAGATCTCGATTTATAAATTTAACGCATTTATAATCGTAAACTTTCAATAATTTATGTTCATTATATTTGAGGAATAGTAGTCCCTTCAGTGGGGTAAATATATCTTTCTACAAATATTTTCTTACAATTGTGATCAGTGCGTTTCTAATCTAAAATAGGGACATTTTATGTTTGCTTTTATAAATAATTGAGCGCAATATCCAATCAACTTGGCAATATAATATATTGCATTCAATTAACGCAGATGATAGATAATATATTTAACTTAAATAAGTAAAATTTAAGAGTGAATAAGTTGGCAGTGCACAGACCCTACTTAGGACTATCGTTACCTCTTGTGAATTAGAATTAAGTTGGCTCAGTTTAGTAACTTGCATTCAGTTGTTCCCTTTTCGTCCACTCTTAATCGATGTGAAATGAGCATTGAATCCCTGATCTCTGAATTCGCAGGTGTGAAATTTGACGCTGCACCACTGTTACACTTCATTGGTGTCATCTTTTTATGACAACACTTTGTTAAACTGCAACTGCTCAGGCCCCAGGTGTAGAGAAGAAGACCTGTAACTCAAACAATAGTTTTGCTAATGAAAAATAAGTTTTTTTATATAGTAAATCGAATATGCTGTTAATCATTGGTTAGGAATTTGTTTAGCTGTGATCACGCGTGTCCAGATGTGAGTATAAAATCCAATAATCGATAGGTCTATAAGGAGGATTAATATCTATTGGCTATTTCCGGGTACACCAAAAGTATTCAATTCGGTTTCCCCACGTGCTTTTCCAGTCATACACTCTTTGCTTGATTCTAGATCTTGTGAATTCACTTTTTCTACCACTACGCCACTGACTAGCCCCCCCCCCCTCCTCCCTTTTTGTCCACCTGTTACCTTTATTGCGTTCAGAAGATACGTTTTTTCTCTCAAGCATATTTAATTTTTCTTTGGTTGCCAATTGAGCTGATCTCGTCTTCACACAAACATTGAAATAACTATTGCTAGTTTTTTTTCTCTTGATTTGTATTAAGGAAACTTTAAATTGTAACAAAATTAAAATGTTAACATATTGTGTTGAGTGAAGGTCGAAAATTTTAAAATTGGAAGAAGTGGTCACTGTTAAATTTTGAAAAAAAAAACAATTTTTTATAATCCACTACTATTTAATAACCCCTTACTATAACAACAAGATTTTACTCGCCTCATACTTGCTTTACTATGAATATAGTTAATAGTACTTCTCTAAAGTTTAATATGAGGCTATTTATTGATTGTCTTATTAGTCAATAATTGCTGTGATGTGCTTTTGTTAGTGTGGGAATGTAATAATCAATAATCCAGTTCATGAGAGATGAAAATCACGGGTTACTTTTGTGTTCACTGAAAATATTCCGTTGGGCTTCCTAGCACGCCCTTTGGCAAAGGGTGTTAAGGCCTAATGTACGAAATAGCTTCTAGCATAATTTATGTTAAACAGAAATAGCTAATTCCTGGATTACATCACCCCATTTTTGCAATATTTACAGCTATACACCTCGTACTAAAATTGAACATTTTATAGGATCTCTTAGTTTAATGTATTTAAAGAACTCATTTCCTAGATGGGAGGGGTACTACTTCTTCTTGTTGTTAAAACCATTTTCAAAATTTCTCTCCCTCATTTTCCCGGATTCGGTCTAGTGGATGTCAGCATATGGTATTGGGCTTCTAAGTTCGATTGACTGATGTTAATATTGGCTTAAACTAGTTAAAAATAAGAAATCTACAATGATGTTGTTTCGATTTCTCGAACTCATTCATCTAAGTCTTCTGAATGGAATTTGGGCATCTTTTCTTTCACCTTCCGTATTTCTGTCCAAGATTGTTCGTTTACTTTTTCTTTTCGCTAGTTTGTCGCAAAATTTTGAAGTCTGTCTCTTTGCTGAACACCATTTCAGTGCTTATTGACAAACAAATTTAGTTTCCTTCCTTCCTTCCATCAGAGTTTTTTTGGTATTTTTTTCCTTTTGTCATTTTAACAATTGAAAATGCAAAAAAACCCTATTTTTGACCATTTGAAATGGAAATTCGATTTACTTTTTTTTATTCGACACTTAATTATGGGTTTCAATTGCAAGTTTTTAACCATTTTCTTGTTGTGAATTATATTCTTTTTCAAAAGTCTTTATTCTTGTTACATGATAATCTTCATTTTCTGACTGTTATTAATATAAATTTCAGCCTTCTAAGCAGTCAACCACAGTGTTAAAGAATACTGTGCAATCATATTTTGTCGTTTTTCTCATATCTTAAAAAGTCTTTTTTTAATTTCTGCAAGCTACAAGTTGGCTGCTACATAGCGGCTTACTAAACGCCTTATTTGTTCGTATACTGCAAAACTGCTAATTTCGGTGATAGCTATTATCCCCTACGATAGGACGAGGAAACTTTTTTTTATTGGAAAATGTTTGAGCATGGAGAGATCCATTAAGTACGCGAATGAATGTAAATGGGGGTGGGGTTATAGGTTGCGTTGTAAACGCTAAGTATAATGAGTGAGCATCAAATAAAATTTCTTTAATCATTAATTCAATTTTAAAGAGCCATTTCTTCTAATATTCCATATCACCGACTTTTACTCTCATGGTCCTTGTGGCCTCGTGTCCGCCAAATTCAGGGCTTATCATAAAATTATTGACCTACTTGGCCATTTGCGGTAGCCTCTTTTCTTCTTTTCACATATTCCGAGGTCAATGTGTACCGTACCTGTTTATTTAAGGTAGGTTATGCTGATTATCTATCATCTTCAATTGACTTTGGCTAAAATCTGTAGTATTTCACATATTGGTTTTTTAATAGGTATTTGCTATTAAAGAATTTTATCTTACTCTAGACAATCAATGGTCCATCTCTCACTCAAAGTGCCGATACTCGAATAATGACCACTTCAACGTGGAGTAACGAAGATGCAGCCTCTCTTGGCACTTTGGATCGTCTAGTTGCCCTTCGACAAAGCATTGACGATGGATCAAGTGTCGGTACTCCAAATACCGGTGGTACAACAGCTTTAACATCCGGTGGTGGTAGTCTGGGAATTCGCTCAGGAACTCGAGCTCAAAGCAGTGGAATCGGTGCCACAAGGACAGAGGGAAGCAGCGTAATCAGTGGGATTAGTGCTGGAACTAATGCCACAGTGGCAACTACTGCTCAGTTGGCTGCAGCTCGTAATTCTCTACAGCCTTTTTACAATCGAGAGGTG